TCCTACATGTAAAGGACAGTGAAGGCATCATCCTACATGTAAAGGACAGTGAAGGCATCATCCTACATGTAAAGGACAGTGAAGGCATCACCCTACCTGAAGGCGGGCGTGTGCACATTAGTGTAGGCCATGTTGGAGGTGTAGTGTGGAGTGTGGCTGTAGGAGGTGACCCCGCCCTCTTTGGGACTGAGGAGCTGGGGGCTCTCTGACCGGGAGGAGGAGGAAGAGGAGGCTGTGTCTGTCAGTTTCCCTGAGCACAAAACAAGAGACCAAGAAGTCAGGAGAAGGAGGAAGAAGATAAGGAGGATGTTAGAGACACACAGAGTGAAGTTTTTTGGAGGGAAAACRTTGTGATTTACCTGACGACAGCTGAGTCGGAGAGATTCGACCTGAAGCTGCCACATTGTTGGAGCCGTACTTCTCCATCAGCTCTGAAAACTCCCTCCTGAAGGTGAACAAATGAAGTCATGTTTTCATCTGTTCTGACACCAGGACCTGATGAACCTGGTCACAAAACTAAAACGTGTGTATTTTATGCTCCGATAGCTGTAACTTCAAGCAGATTATCAGTTTTTAAACAAGCAGCAAAATAACCCAGATTATTTTAAACAAATCAGATTTTTTTTATGTTTGTTTCGTTGAGGGTAAACTGAATAGATCTGCAACTGGAGTTTCTGCAGGACCAGTTCAGAACAATGTGGGTCAGACTGTGGGTTAAGGGGGGGTCAGACTGTGTGTTAATGGGGGTCAGACAGTGGTTTAATGGGGGTCAGACTGTGTGTTAATGGGGGTCAGACTGTGGGTTAATGGGGGTCAGACTGTGTGTTAATGGGGGTCAGACTGTGGGTTAATGGGGTCAGACGGTGTGTTAATGGGGGTCAGACTGTGTGTTAATGGGGGTCAGACTGTGGGTTAATGGGGTCAGACTGTGTGTTAATGGGGGTCAGACTGTGTGTTAATGGGGTCAGACAGTGGGTTAATGGGGGTCAGACAGTGTGTTAATTGGGGTCAGACTGTGTGTTAATGGGGGTCAGACTGTGTGTTAATGGGGTGTCAGACTGTGTGTTAATGGGGGTCAGACTTTGGGTTAATGGGGGTCAGACAGTGTGTTAATTGGGGTCAGACAGTGTGTTAATGGGGGTCAGACAGTGTGTTAATGGGGGTCAGACTGTGTGTTAATGGGGGTCAGACTGTGTGTTAATGGGGGTCACACAGTGTGTTAATGGGGGTCAGACTGTGTGTTAATGGGGGTCAGACTGTGTGTTAACGGGGGTCAGACTGTGTGTTAATGGGGGTCAACCTGTGGGGTGAAGTCATGATTTTTCAGCACAAAGCTTTTCCTGGTTTCATAAAAGATGGAAGAGAAAGGATGGAGGTGAGACGACCTTGTCTCTGAGGTCACAGCACGTCACTTCCCACCAGACGCTCTAAGCTACTGAAGGTTTTTTATTCGGCTCCATCTGTTCCTCTGCAGTGCGTGACCCCGCTGAGGACAAACCTGACAGTTCTGTTTGTGCTGCTGTTGGTTTGGAACCAATAAAAAGATTATCCAGCTTTGTTTTTACAACTGAATGCACCGCAAAGATTTTAATCTATAATAAAACTCTCCACCCTGAATAAAGACGTTTATGACCAGCTGCTGCAGATTCTCCCCCATCAGTCTGCAGATTCTGCCGATTCCAGCTCTGCACCGGTCCCCGACAGAACCTTGTGGTCCGTCAGCGCCGTGTCCTTATTGTGTCAGGCCGCGTTTGAGTTGAAGCTGCAGGCTGACGTGGAGAAAGTTGCAGGGCAGCAGAGGGTCAGGTCAGTTTACCCTCCTGGAGTTAACAGCAGGGAAGTCTGAACGCCGGCAGGAACCAGAGCTGTCCGAGCAGCGAAACATCAGCTGGTGTCGGCTCCCGCTGGGAAGAGGAGAGTCTCTTCTCTCCCTCCAATAAACCAGCTCAAAGTGAAGCTTAGCGGTTTCTCAAACAAACAGACTCTAATGTTGATGCGGGAAGATGTTTGTTTACCTGCCATGCATTAAGACGCCTACAGAAAATAAAACCTGTGATCCAGAGCTGCTTGTTTACCTGGATTCATCGTCTCTGGCGATCAGCAGAGACATGTGGTTAGAGAGCGAAGCTGTCCTCAAGATCTCCACCGCCCTGCAAGAAAACACATCCAGGTGTCACCGCTGACATCTGCAGAGGGAAACCAGGACCTGTCAATCATAAAGTGTAGCTTTGATCTGGGTCCTGGAGGAACAGGAGACCAGATCCCACAGAGTCAATGACAGGATCCTGATTCAGGACAGAAAAAAAGAATCTGGGGCAGACCCAGAACTAGAGTTGTAATATAACTAAGTACAAACACTTTGTTACTGTACTTAAGTAGAAGTATTAGTTATCTGTACTTTACTTGAGTAATTATTTTTCAGACTACTTTTTACTTTTACTCCTTATATATATATATATATAT